GGGGGGGGGGAAGGTCAGAAATGGGTGAGTCACTGTTAGATAGTAATTAAGGTGGTGAGAGCAGCAAGCGAACTAAGGCCACAACAGAAACCCATAGACGCCGTGTAGGACTTTGGTTACAGCACCTAAAGTTGTTTTAAGCTGTCCATCTGCATCTCTTAAGAACTGTGAGATGATAAGCTGGGAAAATAACCTTGTTATTCTGACTTGCATCAGGCAGATAAAGTTACATGTGCTGTTTGTCAGCATAAACGCCACTGCACCAAAATCCTGCCTTGCTTCAGCACGCTCTCTCCGTGGTCTTACGATGAAAACACCAGGCATTTGCTGCTCGGTCTTTCCAATTCCCACATTGTAAAGCTTTATTACAAGGCAGACCCTTCTCAGGCCTTTTGTTATTGTATCAACGCAAGAAGCACCGTCAGCAAATCCCGCAGACGGTGATGCTGCTTTCCCACAACAGCTGGTGAAGCTCTTCAGATGTTTCCTTTGCTGTAGAGGCAGGGAAGTGTTGCTAGCAAGGGAGGCTTTCACCTTTCCCATGCCTGGTCACACTGCCAGGGTGAAACTGGACTTTGGAAAATTGGGAGAGCAGAGTTGGAGGATATCTGTGGCAGAACCTGTTGGCAATCGTGCTTAAAAGTACGCAGCTTTGGTGAAAGGCAGTCGGTCAAAAGTTTGTTTTCCAGTTCAGTTAAGTCACAGCCTGTATTGTAGACGGGTGATTTTTCTGCCCAACATTAACATTTTCTGTTTAACCTTGGGAGGGGAAATTGTCCGTGCCGGGTGCCTACAGGCTGAGGTATTTCTGTAGGAAAACTGTAGCCAAAATGTCTGAGAAAGCATGGGAAAAACAGGCTGTTTTGCCAATGTGGAAAGTTCTGGTGACCACCTCTCCTCCGCTCTCCCCCTTTCGAAACACGTTCTTGAATTTTGGTCCTGGTGGAGAACATCCTGTGGTCAGGGACATGCCTTTGGCTTCGCCGCTAGCTTCAAAAAAACAACATCCGCAATAGTTGTCAGTGTTTAAACTGGAGGGAGTCCTGAGAGGGGAGGGTCAGTGCCCGCGCAGTCCGTGTTTGCAGTAATAGCTGGTGGAACAGGGAGGCACCAGCTAAATTTGTAGGTGAAACCGAGCTGGAAACATTTTAGAGGAGAGACTAAGGCTTAACAATTGTGGTCTAAAAAGTCAGGCACAGGTATGTCCAGTCTCGTAGGGCTGCGCGGATGCCGAGTGAGGGGCAGACGGCCAAGGCAGAGGTTTTGCCGGACAGCGTGCTGGGGTGTATAAGCGCAAGTGTCACGTCAAATGAGCGGTCAGTGCTTACGAGGGCCTTGACTGGAAAATTCGGTTCTGCTCGTCCTCCAGGAAAAATACGAGCTAGGTAGAGAGACGGAGGAGTCAGACACTCAGGAAATAAGAGCCCTGGAGAAAAAATTGGGTTTTGTTCATCTAAAGCCTCCCCATGCCCCCGGCCAGCACTGCCTTTTCCGGCGCAGAAGATGGGATGGGATCAGGTGATGAGAGACTGCGTGAAACATGATGCGAAAGGGGCCGAAGGAAGGTGGCTTGAGTAACCTTCCTTTTGGCATTTCCTCCTTCTGCCTGCATGGCTGGCATCCTGGTAGGTTTTCAACATCGCTTTTCTGGCTGAAGTAACGCAGCCAGTTGATTTATTCCCTTTGCTAGTTCCTGGTTTGCACTGTTGGGGCAAACATCTCAGCCTGCTTTGGAAGGAGAAAGAGAGCAAGAGCTTGCAAGCCTGGTTTTCCCCGGCTTGTTCTCCTTCCCGAGAGGTGCCTGCAGATCAGAAGTGTGATTTCCAATGAGTCGGAGCAGGACTGAAAGGATTCCTGAAATGTGTAGCAGAGCTGGGGTTAAACCAGCTTTGGAAAAGCCGTTTTCTTATCTAAATCTGTTCCAGTCTCAGCAGGTACATGGTGCTGGCTGCGCTCTTCGGGCGGACTCCTCTGGGTTTGGGGGAGACTTAAATTCTTTATTTTCCCTGAGAACAAAGCAGCGGTAGCCGAAAAGGGAGTATTTCTACCCAGGAGTGAAAGCAGCAGGGCCTGAATGGAGACGTCAGGCGCTGAGTGCTTCTTTCGAGCGGTGACGCCTTGGCGCGTTAGCTCCCTCGCGAGTGGCAGAGGGCATGGCACGAAAAGCAAGGTTCTGCAAACAGAAACCGTGGGGCTTTGGCTTCACAGTCAATGCGGGAGGTACAAAGGTCCGTCTGCGCAAACTGGAAATCATCCCAGGGCAGAGATCACCCCGTCTGTCCCCGGTGCGTGCAGGACCACGCTGGGTGGAAGCGGGTGCCAGCCGCGGCGTCCCGGCCCCGTGGCTCCACGGAGCTGGTGGGGATCGTCTCGGTGCAGAAAGCAGGCAGTTCCTCCGCAGTGACTTGTCCAGGGGCTCTTCTCCATCATTTGATTCCTCCTGCTGCTGTTGGTTTTTCAGCCCAGCTGCTCATTAGGGGCTGTAAATAATACTTGTGTGTTTTATCGCGAAGCAGAAACTGAAGCACAGACAAGGCTGTGTAATGGCATGCACCAGATTTAATCCACAGCTGCTCGAGGCTCAGCTGTGGCTGGTGCAAACGAAACCGGATCTCAGCTCCTGCAGCAAAGCAGTGGAAGAAACAAAAGCAGTTGTTTTAGCCAAGGTGCTGCTGGCTCATGGTCGCTCTGTGAGGCTGAGCGCAAAAGATGGGCTTTCGTTCAGACGGGAACCCCTTTCATTGCACTAAAAGTACCGTTGCTTGGAGCGCCTTATGAGGTTGCTGCCATTTTCTGCGGCGCCGTTTGGCTCAGCGATATGTGTAAGGCACATATCTTTTTTTGTTAGAGAGGGTTATTGTAAAACTAAAATATCTTTTATGTGATAAAGCCTCGTATCAGGGCACTGAAAAGGGTCTTGATTTTTTTGTCCCAGCTGAAGTGAACCCTGTTGCTTGCTGCCATAGGTACATCCCCGTTCAAGGTTTACAGCTCAGATGCTGCCAGAATGTAAGAACTGCAGTTACAGGAACCGTACCCAGAATAAGTGAAAGGGTCCTGAGAAGATGGTCTTGTTAAAGATGTGGTCAAGGGTATCTGGGTCTTCCCAGGCAAACTTGCTGGAGTCACATTATCATTGGTATCTCGGTCCCCGTGCCTGCCGAAAGAGGATAACGATTCAGCCAGCTTCCCCTTTGCCGTGGGGGATTATCTGCTTTGCAGATTGAATGGGGAGACACCTGAAGTGGCTCACGCAGCCCGGGGCGGCTGGCTAGCTGCAAAACCTTAGCAAGACAGCTCAGCTCGGGTGCAGAGGCAGAATAACTCTGTTTGCCTGGCGCGGAGCCTAAGCTAACAGCCTCTGCCAAGCCTCCGGTGCGCAAGAGGTAGAATTATCCGTGTTTTATTTCCGTGAGCACCCAGCCTTCCCTCTGCCTGGCTAACAGAGATTGGACTGCTCCATTTCATCCAGCTTTCATCCATCTGATCCCATTCTCTGGGGCTTTCTATCATGTTTTGGTACAGCGCCTGGCAGAACGGAGCTGCCCGTCGCGCTCGTGGCCCATCAGTGCTATTGCACTGCAAATAGTAGCAGTGATTGAAATGCAATAAATAGGTGAACTGCATGCAGTAACAAACACACTAGATCTGGACGTGGCATCCCCATGCAGTGATAGAAAGGTATTGCTAATAGTCTACCTGAGGGGAAGCTTTACATTGCATTAGATATTTTAATTATGGAACCGCTTCCCGGTTAGGATTGAAGCTAGCTTACTTCCACTGGCCTGTGTTTTAAATCATCTTGTAGTTTCCTTGGTAAGACACTGATCTCCTTGAATTTCACATGCCGTAACTCAGCAAGGGTACGATTTCTTTGATAGGGGAGATCAATAAATGAGCTATAAAGCTGCAGCAGCCTAAAGACATATCTGTCCTCTGCCATATTCATCGCGTTCTTGGCCTCCTCTGCCTCTGGATGACTCCAAAGAACCTGGCCGAGATGCTGTACACTGACTTCTGACGGGCCTGACCTTGCTGCGAAGAATTAGCTTTGGAAGGGAGAGTTGTAAGCAGGCAACGCATTGTTCCTACATGTAGAAAAAGCAGTATTGACATGTCAAGTATGATAAAGGCTCATAAACAGGAGTTCAGCTTTACTCCTCCGATTTCAACGCGTGGCCGGCGAGGTGAGTGCCGCTTGCTGCAGCCCTAGGAAGCTGCGGCTGACCCAAGTGCTGCGCACCGGGGCCAGGCCCTTCTAGCCTAAGTACGACTAAAGTAACAGCTCTGAAATCCACACCTACATTTAGAAAACATTTTGAGGATTTTTACTTCTTAACTATTCTGTGACTTCAAAGGCCATTTAACTCTGTCGTCCTTTTCTTTTTAATCAAAATAACTGGAGACAGCAAAAGCCATTTATCTCCAAACGTTGCAAACATCTCTGTACATTTTAAATGGCAGCAACAGGATAGGAAAAACATGCTACAGAAAATTTGCTTGCAGCAGAACTTGCCGTCCCTTTGGGAACACGGAGAGAGCTTTTGAGGTGCTTTAGATTGATTATGAAATGAGTCTCCAGGTAACAGCTGCTTGGTCACCCTGAATGTTGATTTCTCTCCCCTTGGCTAAGAGCCAGAGATGTGTCTCTTTATTTCAGAAAAACATTCTGTGCATGCACACAGTTGAAAAGGAGGAGATGGTGAAGGAACAAATGCTAGTTAAGCTGAACAATAGTGTTGACCTTAGAACAAATGGTTATAAGTTGGCCAGGAATAAATTTAGGTGGAGCAAGAAAGTTTCTGTAAAGCAAAGCAGTAAGCTTTTGATAAAGGGTCCGATAAGAAGGGGCAAAATAAAACCACCACCATCTTTTCCAATGGAGCTGGCTTAGTTTATGGAAGGGGCTGTGTGGCACAGGTGGTAGTGGAGGAGCCTGGTCCTGCCCTGCTCCTGCTTGGCGTTCTCAGGATCGGGCACAAGGTTGGTGTCGGTTGAGGTCCACATGGGAGGTTGCTCTTCGCTTAGAGAAGGCAAATTCCTCTCCTTCCTCTCATAATTGTTTCTTTTTCAAGCTGAAGAGTCCTTGTATTCTTTCTCGCTCTTTCCCTCGAACCCTTTTCTAGTTTTATTCTCCCTTTCTGCAGTGGGGTGAGCAGAACTGCAGTGTGCTGTTCAATGTATGGATGTATACAGCGGCATAATAATGTTTTCTTTGTTGTTCTGTATACCTTTCCCAATAATTCCTACACAGAGTGAGGTGGTGACTGATATACATGCAGAGCGCTAAGGCAGATGTGTGTACATGTGCAATAGCCTTTATTAGACCAACTGACAGAGTCTCTATAAACAAAAAAGCTTTTAGACACACAAACCCTTCTGCAGGTCTGGAAGAGAAGCAGAAACCTTCAGAGTGAAATACAAGTTATTCTGAGTTTACCACAACTCTCTTAATCATGTGGACCATGAGAGAAAGTCTACATGCTATCTGAAAAGCAGAGGGAAGGTGTTATTAAAGGAGAAAAGTCAGCCTCCCTTTCTTTAACGCCTGTTTTATTTTCTGGGAGTACTTCTTCCATGTACAAACATCTTCTGTCTCGGGGACAGGGGGGTGCTAGGTGTGAAGCAAGACGAAAAGATGGACCTGTGCCATAAAAACAGTATTTTCGCTGAACCCATAACTTTTAGTATTCAGGAGAACAGTGAATTATAATTTCCAGGTCCATCTTCTTAAGGTGTTTTATAGGCTTTCCATGAGGATTGAGACTGAGACACCGGAGTTGGTAGTGGTGGTTTTTTTGAAAGACGTATTCTCCCTCTGATAACTCTCGATCTGTTTGCCTCTCAACCGTCACTGAGCACTGAGCTGGTCTTTTCAGAGAACTGTGACTCTCCGATCCCTTTTCTGAGCAGTTTTAACAAATTTACAGCCCATTTAAGTGTATGTATAGCCAGAGATTTTTCTGCCGCTATGCATTACCTTGCATGTCAATGGTGAATTTTGGTGCTTGGACACCTTGAATGAGGAGACCCTTCTGCAAATTCTTCACAATAAAGACTGTCCTGGACAATTATTACCCACAAACTCGGTCTTCTCATATTCACTCCCTTTCCCAGATCACTTGTGACTATGTTGTACAATACAGACCCTTGCGAAAATCCCTTGATTTCTTGTTCCCATTATGAATATTACCTATTTATTCTTACCCTTTGTTTCCCATTGGCAACTATTCATGTAGAAATGCCCTTCCCCTTTGCACCATTATTGTTTCCATTCCATGAAAGCTTTGGGTGGAGGACATTTCCACAAGGCTATGAAAAGCCAAGCCTACCTCAGTGATTGGTCACCCCACCTGAGTGGTCATCCTCACTTTTAAAGAGCTCAGCTAGCTATAAGGCAAGATTGTACTCTACGGACACCAAGTTGTCTCTTGGTCGGTATATCATGGGTCTGGTAATTCTGGTCTCTGTTACCATTTCTACCAATGTGCCTGAACCAAAATTCGGATGTTCTGCTGTGTAAGTTCCCTGGACTACCTCCTGAGTCCTTTAAAAATCTGGTGTCACATTTGACATCTTCCATTCTTTAAGCACCAAGGCTGATTTGAGTGATAGGTGGCAAACCACATGAACAGCTTGACAGTCCCCTGATTGAGTTCCTTTTGACCTCGGGGGTCTGCTGATGTGCTACCGTTCGATGTATTGATTTGCTTAAAACCTCTTCTTGGCCTCAATATCTGATCTGTAATGGAGAGCGAGCGTTACAGGGCAAAATTCATTACTGTTTGTAAAGCTCATCAAGATCTTTCATGAGCAAATCCCATCATATTTTAATATATTTTTAAATGTCACGAGTAAATTCTCATTACTCATTGAAGAGCTGAAGTAAACAGTGCTTGCCAGACGTACATCTTGGAACAGGCAAAGGCTGCAACTCTCTTCATTTACCGCTTTTAGAACACTTTCATTTCACCTAAAACTCTCTGCCTTGACTCTACTCCTGCAAATGAAAAACATCCCTGTTGCTCTCCCAGATGTGGGCTGAGAGATCTCCATGAACTCAGGGTCCTGGGCTTTTCAGAAGATAACTGGCTGCTCTGTGGGGCTCTAAGAGTTTCTTTCCGTAATAGCTGTTAGGATTGCTTTGGCTTTGCAGTGTGAGATGCAAGTATGAAGAAGAGCAAAGGACAAATGCGTGTACCCAGTAAGTTTTTGATAGCACACGGTTCTAACTGGGGAAACCTGTTCCTGAATCCCTTCACCTCAGACTCAGCGTGGTGCTGTCCCCCTCCAATGGTGGTTGTACATTACTGCACACTTGCCTGAAGGGTTGAGCAGATGGGTCTTAGGCTATTAGGACCCCGGGTGGTAGTCTGTTTGTAGTCTGTTTGCAGGCTCCAGGGGATTCCCACCTCACCCAAGGCCAAGTGCACTTCTATTCAGGTGGCATAAGTAGCATTTTCCCCAGGACCATGCTTGTAGTCAGGGTCTCTGCAAGAGCTTCAGAATAAATTTGCATTTCCCGTTGTTTTTCCTGCCAGGATGTCAGGAGGAGACATGGCCAAACCCCTCCTGGGCCATCGCAGTGTGGAGGGTGACCACAGTGTCACTCCTGCGGCCGGCCGCACCATCGGGGTGCTGGGGAGCGGGGATTTCGCGCGGTCGTTGGCCATCCGCCTCGTCTGCTCCGGGTTCAAGGTGGTGGTCGGGAGCCGCAACCCAAAGCGCAAAGCCGGCCTCTTCCCTTCTGCAGCAGAAGTCACCTTCCAAGCTGAGGCAGTGAAGAAGACGGATGTCATTTTTGTGGCAGTTTTCAGGGAACATTACTCCACGCTCTGTGACCTGGCTGATGTGCTGGCTGGCAAGATACTGGTGGATGTTAGCAACAACACTGAAATCAACCACCACAAAGAATCCAACGCCGAGTACTTGGCTTCCCTGTTCCCCTCCTGCACCGTGGTCAAGGGGTTTAACGTCATTTCTGCATGGACGTTGCAGTCAGGTGCCAGGGATGGAAATAAGCAGGTATTGTTTTCTTCTGATAAGGGCCAACTCTCCTTGTTGTCCCTCTGCAAAGATGCCAACCATTTCAGCAGCTGGGGCCGGACAACCTCAGTAAATTGCTTTAGGCTCAGGGAGAGGTGGCCTGAGCGCTGGCTATGGCATCCAGAAACCGTTGCATAGCTTCTGCATTTCTTTGCTCAGAAATGAAATATCTTCATTCAGTTCATGCTTTGTAGTCTTTGGAGCCTCTGTGTAAGTGAAAAGTATTCTTTAATTATGCACTTCTCTAAACATAGCCAATAAAACAAACTGGTGGTGCACACATAAAAGAAAACCTGAGCAGAGCAGGGGTCTTTGGCAGCCACAGTAAATCCCCATCAGAAAGCCTGCCAGGGAACATGCTGCTCGGTGGAATAAGCTAGGCTTCTTCTAAGCGCAGCATCCCTCCTCAAGCACTTGTCCCTGGCAGTCTGATCTCTCCTTGCCCTATCTGTATCTTTCTGTTCATTGCAGGTTCTCATTTGCTCTAATAACCAAGAAGCCAAGCGCACCGTAGCAGAAATTGCTCAAGCCATGGGATTCACCCCTGTGGACATGGGCTGCCTGTCATCGGCCTGTGAGATTGAAAACATTCCCCTGCGCCTCTTGCCAGCCTGGAAAATCCCCATCTTTTTGGCTTTGGGGCTCTTCCTTTGTTTCTTTACTTACAACTTGGTCAGACAGGTCATCCACCCTTACATCAGGGAGCAGAAGAACAAGTTCTACAAGATCCCCATCGAGGTGGTCAACACTACCCTGCCTTGCGTGGCTTACGTCATGCTGTCTCTCGTCTATCTGCCCGGGATCCTGGCAGCCTGCTCGCAGCTGTACTACGGCACCAAGTACAGGCGTTTTCCAGATTGGCTTGACCAGTGGCTCCAGCACAGAAAGCAGATTGGCCTCCTGAGCTTCTTCTGTGCGGCTCTGCACGCCGTGTACAGCCTGTGTCTGCCCATGCGCCGCTCGCACCGGTACCAGTTAATTGAGACGGCCATCAAGCAGGTAATGTTGTTACTCTGCAGTTCAGCACCTGTAATAATCTTATGCGTACAGCCAGATGTTGAGTAGCGCGTTTACTAGCTGGGCCACTGCATTCACTTTCTGACACGTGTGTGGGACGGTGGGAGTAAGCTGTTACCTATATACGCACTTCTCCACAAGGCAGTTCTGCCCCGCAGTGGCACACCACACACCAGGCATGCCCCCCCGCATCAGGACCAGCCGTCTTAGCAGCATGTAGCCTTTGCGCTCAGATCGAGGATCGATTCCCCCAGTGCTGTTGCTCCACAGAAGCCTAGACTGACCTTGGAAACCTGCTTTGCCTGGCACCTGGCATGTCTGAAACCAGTGCAGAGGCAGGAAAAATGCTAGGAGAGTCAAAATTCAGTGCTGGTGGCAGCCGAGTTCCTCTCAACATTTCTTCCTCGATGTTGGGACACCCCTGTTTGCTCACACTGATGTTTGTGATAAACTCCTGCTGGCGTGACCAAGTCATAACCCTTAGGATTTGTTCTGTAGGTGTGTCCCTACCATAATGTGCCTCCAGGACTTTAACAAAATAATAGTGAAGAACTAACTGATCATAGGTTAAGAGAACAAGGCACTTCTATTGAACAAGGAAGAGGGAAAGCACTTTATTGCTTTATTGACACTCTTGGCAGTGTTTATCCACTGTGCGATTACTACCTTCAGATAATTCAGCCAACAGTGTAACCCAGCAATGCCATGGCAAAATACGATTCTGCCCTTCTCCTGCCCCTGGCTTGTTCCTGCTCTACCCCGCTCCCTCCTGGGATGGCACAAGCTCTGTGCAGCTGAGTGGCGAACCAGAGAAGGAAGTCTGCTCTCTGGGCTGGGATATTTTTCAAGAGTTTCCCAGTGTGGCCACATGTACGCTTGTCCCAGCACAGAGGAGGGAAGGGGCCGTTCCAGGCAGGATGGCTTCTTCTGGCAGCAGTGCCTGGTCACAGTATTCATCAGACAGCATCCCTGGCCTCTCAGTTCCCGTCTTGAGCTGGTCCTTCACAATTGCCACAATGACACATTAATCTCGGGCAAGCATCCTGTGTTCATTTCCCCTCTATCTCCTGTTTTCTAGCAACGTCTTTGTTTAGTAAATTAAACCCATTTAATGGGCTAAAGAGGATGGTTCTAAATGTCGCTCTTTGCCATGCAGCATAAAACTCATCTTTCTTTCCATTAGCATGAACAATTTCCCCCCTAAATGCACTTAAAATGAAGGTTATTAGGAGACTACTGCATATTCAAGCAAGTGTATTTGTTTTCATGGCTTCTCAGTCCAATTATCATTCCAAATGCAACTTTGGGGCTTGCTGCTGTGGTTATGGGCTGGGAGTACTCAGTAGTTCTTCCCAGCAGGCTTTAAATCTGATCTAACTTGGACAAATGGCAGTGGGCTAACAGAGCATTCTCACACCTCCCAAAGCACAGCGGCAGGTAGCACTGGAGCCGTGCTTCCAAAACCAAAATGAATAACTTCAGGTAAAATTCAGTTCCTCTGTTCCTAAGCGCTCCATTTTAACAAACCTTCATTGTCATGCCAGGCTGTGGAGAAGAAGATGACTATCTGGGTAGAGGAGGAAGTCTGGAGGATGGAGATTTATATCTCCGTTGGAATAATTGCCCTGGGCTTGCTGTCGTTACTCGCCATCACTTCACTTCCATCCATCGCCAACTCTCTCAACTGGAGGGAATTCAGTTTCGTACAGGTAAAGTTGACGTTTGCGATGCCAGAGAGCGATTTCGCAGGCGCAGCTCCCCAAGGCCTGGGGAGCCCTGGCCGCCCGACCGGGAGGGCCCCAGAGCAGGGCCACGGTGTTTCCCAGGGAGGCCGCTCCGCTCTGCGGCAGGGCTCGTGCGGTCAGCTGAGGGTGCTGCTGTCTCAGGGGGAAGGGGAAAATGGAATGACTTGAATCATGTGCAGCCACGTGATGATTAGCGGCAGGCTTGGCAGGAGTGAGTCTCCTTTAATGTGTTGGCTGAAATGCTTCCTCGCCCGGCATTTAGCAGCATTAGCTGAGAGATCCTGAGAAAAAGCCAGCTTAGGCTTTGGCTCTGTGAAATCCCCCCTTCAGGTCCCTCTCCCTGCCTCGCCCCGTGCTCGTGAGTGGTGCTACCATTCACGACCAAAAACACTCCCAAAGTCACAGGAGGGAGAAAGGCAGAACGCCCCGGGGTCGTTTGGAGAGGACAGGGATGTTCCCGTCGGCGGACAAGTTCCCCCCTTGGAGCCGGGAGCGTCGGTCACACCTGACATGTTGGAGATGCTGTGGGCAGTTTGCAGCAAGCTTTGGAAAGAAGGGAAATAACCCGCCGTGGAGGCAGCTGAGTGCAGGGTGCAGGTGTGTGCTTGCATTTCAGCAAGAATGAGCTTCTGAAAAGACAGCAGTTAAGAAAGGACCTGGGAAGATGATGAAGGTGAGGGTCAGATTTGGCAGAGCTTGCATTCACCCAAATATTGAATAGACAGGTTTGAGAAGGCCTAAACTGCTCTATAAAAATCTCAGAGATCAAGAAGCACAGAGAACTGGGGCATCATTTCAATGAAAGGTCCATGTCTTATTTTAAAAAATGTATTAGGAGTGTATGCGTAATTTTTTCCTTCTCCAAAACTCTTCAGTGGTGTAGGAGCCTTCCTCCCTCTTGCAATGATGTTCAAGCTCCTGAGGGCCAAATTCATGTAGTGACCTGAATGCACCGTGTGGGGCATTCACAAGCCTCCCCTCAATCTGGAGCTGTGATGCTCTCTCTGCGCTGTTTTAAAAGCTGATTCAAGGTCACGATCTCCGAGTGGCCACGCTGTACTCTCAGGTACACGCCTGGAGGGAGGCTTAAGGCCAACCAACTGGGATAGCAGGGGGATAAAATTTCATATGTTCCCTGCGCTTTAGAGCCCATTTTGACGTCAGACTGCCCAAAAGACGCTCACCGCATTACTGTTGTATAACACAGCCCTGGGGCTCCGCGTTATTTGTGTTGCCTGCATCTCTGCCGCTCAGCACGCGCCAGACGTGAAGTCACGACGCGGTGCCCACTGTGCCAGCCGGTGGGCGCGCGAAGCCCAGCGGGACGGGGGCACCCGCACCTCTGCCCGCGGAGCCTCCTCTCCTGGGACTCACACCGGAGCGTGTCTCACCTTTCGAACGGGGAGGGCGGCATTTGGTTAGTCAGCAGTGAATACCCATCACTCAGTCTCTCCTGTTGAAGCTCTTCAGCTGCATATAAATAATTCAATATTCATTAGAGCAGGAGTTTGAAGCCTGCTCTTCCCGCTTCCCCCACGAGTGCCCCGATCACCAAGCTGGCACATCAGGCCTCTGTTTTTTTCCTCTCTTGCCCTGGGCTGGTGCGTAATTCTTTAGACAGAGGCGAACTGCCTCACCAGGAAGGCTTGACCCCAAGAGATCATCACCCTTCAGGACGAAGGGAGACCTGGCTTTAAATCTCCGTTTCAGATCGGACAAAGGGAGCATACTAATTCTCGCCACCACATCTCAGGGGAGGGCTGCAGCCACTGGGATATTGGATAAATTGCTGTCCTGGCTTAGCCATCTAATACCAAGAATCTCAATGAAGGGAGATATTTCCTCGCAGTCCGGAGCGAGGCATTTCCCTGTGGCTCCCTGCTCAGCTCACGAGCTCTGCCGCAAGGTGCTCACCTTGCGTAAGGCGCCCAGCCCCGATCCCACACTGGGAAGGAGCCGGGGGTCTTAGTCCCCATCTGTACATCTAGCACAAAAAGGTGACTGAAAGTGCCTGCTGGCACTTTCAGACATGTGACGGTGGCTAACCCCCCTTCCTCATGCTCTGAACCACACTGTACGGCTGCTATCTCCCCACCGTTCCTGCTGGATAGCCTGTTAAATAAATACATGTACAAATAGATATACACACATTGTCATGGCAGCTAGTGCTGCTGGCCCCTACTAGTACATTTAACAAGCCTATCACATCTGCCCTTTGGGAACCATTGCCAAGTCATTCGAACAGTACGTCAGCGTTGGTACCAAACAAATACGTGACACTGAGCTCCAAAATAGCTCTTGGCTGCCCTACATAGTGGCTGGCTGGCTCCGTATGTGGAAAGGCCGACTCACTCGCACCCATTTCTGTAAGCGTGGGATGAAGCGTGGCAGTGCAACACCAGCTCCCCAGCTGATCACATGCCCGGTGGTAACGTGCTTTACTGGGGAAATACCTTGTAGAAAAAAGCAGGTCTCAGATTTTGTAGCATGTTAGCTTCTAGTTTATTTTTTTTTTAATGGGGAACCTTTTAAACGATTTACTCTTCAATAAGATGGCGATGCATTTCCTGAGGAAATTAATGGCAGATGCAGCTACTACTCCCAGACGTAGAGGTGAACGTTCATGTACAGCAGCGTGAATCTCCCTGCTAAATTAATGCACAGCAACACAACGTTCTTACTTAACATCTGTAAATGCAACAGGCGCAGCAAAAAGAAAAAGCATTTGGGAGGTGTAACGCGTGCGCATCAGAGCCATCGTGGCTTCCCATACACGTGAAAAGTGAAAGACATGGAAAACGTAGAGCGCAGCAGTCCCAGCCAAACGTCTCTCAGAAAATGAGGCGATTTGTTGCCGTCTCGGTTGAACTGGCTCATGCGCTTGAGAGAAGCTGTTACCAACAGCTGCATGTGCGAGAAGGCTGGGGGTAGTTACAAAGCCAGAGACCATTTTAGTCTGCTCCTTATCTGGAGTGCTCCAGGGTTGGTCTTAAATTTTCCAACAGCAGTATGTGCCCCTGTATTGGTATCATGGGATACTGCCAGGCTCTTGCGATACACATCTGTGCCTGACAGGCCAAAACCCACCTTTGGATCGTTGCTGAGTTTTTGTAACAAAAATGATTTTTTTTTTAATAGTAGCTCCTGTACATACACCCATTTCATATACAAATATAGTCAAATTAGAGATGAAGTTCCCTTATATATCCAGTTCGGGTTAACAGAAAACACAGAGGAGCTAGACACTGGGCAACGGGCGCGATCTGTGGGTAACTGAACTTACAGGAGACGTTTTTAATCTTCCCTAATGATTTACAAATCACATCTAATTGGTTGAGAAGTAAAAATTGACATGACTGCCTTTCCCTTCGCACCCCGAAAAGTCCTCCTGGAACTGGAAGGTTGTGTGCGGCCTGGTTTCTGTCCTAGCTCAGGTATCGCAAGAAATAAAGCATCTGTCATCAGCCCTTTTCTAACCCTCCTGTGGGTGAGGTGAGAGCCAGCATGGACGAGCGCTCCGGCTTCCACAGCGCTATTGGTTGTGCAGGACTAACGGGAGCAGAAGTCAGAAACGTATTTGGGCCAGGAGGCGGCACGTTGCTTTGGATGCCGCACAGACGTTTCTAAACGAACCACACGCGGCAGGATCACCCCCTCCGATGCGTTACGGGGAGCCTCCCAGACCCCGCGGAGATGGAGGATCCGCTGCAGCACAGAAAATACTCGGAGAGGCTGCGTTAGGAAGATACCGCTTGCATGCGGCCATCTCCCCGGGGGCTTTAACAGCCTAGGCGGGCAGGGTCCTCATACGCCCCAGGCTGTGTGACCCTGCCGCAGTAACAAAACAACCAAAAGAGGGATCGTCTGTGTTAGGAGGACTTACCCGCGAATTTCTTGCCGATGAGCTGCTTTGTGCCGCGTGCCCGGCCGCGCTCCGGCGCAGCTGGGCCGCGCAGGATTCGGTGGGCGCCTGCGCGCTTCGTCTCCTTTCGCTCTGGTCCCACTCGTTTCCGCTCCTGCTTTCCCCCCTGTACCAGCAGCAGTTCACAAAGAAATCACAGAGGAACAAACCGATCAACTCCAGCGTTGGCTTGGCCGCGTTACCTAAAAGCCCCTTTTCGGCCTGACTCTGCGAGAACCCTCCAGCGAGGACAGAAAGCGACTGCTGCACTCGGCCTTCGCCTTGTCACCTCTCCCCCTCCCCTGCTTTAGATCTGCGCTGGGAAAGATGAGTCACAAGCTGGTACTTCCTGCCTCTTTTCCCCCCCCCCCCGGGATTTTTTTTGGCTCCTGGAGAGAGGCTAACAGTCGATAAGTGCTGGACGAGCCAGGAGCCGTTTGCTCCTGTTAGGAGCGTTACATCTTTCGAGGGCGAGCGCAGCGCATCGCAGCAAACTCTTTCTCAGTTTTCCCAAGTGAAACGAATCTCGCCCCTGTTTGGGTTTGCTGCTTGTTACTGCTGCGGCTTGCGGATCTGGTGTGGGTTTTAGGGAGGAGGAGGAGGGCTGTGGCTGGAAGAAAGGAGCGGCGTGGAGAGAGCGCGGAGGACGAGGCGCAGGTCGGTCACAGGTCAGCAACTGACTCCTGGTATAACCCTGGGTACTCAGCTATAATCCAGACCGAAGCGGTCTCTGACTTGGAAGGGGGTTGTAAGAGTGAAATCTTGGCAGGGCCCAGAGACACCCACGTGATCGTGTGATGACAGGTGCTGTAAAAGTAAAGTGCCGCAATTCGCTAGCGCACCCTCGAGATCTCCTGCCCTCCCAGGTCGCTGCATAACTAGCTCTGAAGGGTCGGGAAGTCTTCATCTAGTCTGTTGTTAACCCGTGGTACGTTTCCAAAAGTTGCCTGGTTTTTACATGGGTTCGTAGCAAACAAAGAGAGGAAGGAACATTTTGAATTGAGTAGTTTTCCAGCGGAGACTTTTTTTTCAAGGGAAAATGATTGGTCCTTCCTCCTCTTTTGCGCGGCTCCCTTTCTTCCCTGCTGGACGTCCTTTCCTGGACGTACATTCAGGAAAACAGTGTCTTTTGCTGATCTCTAACTGGATGCAGCAAGCCAAATATTTTGACTTTGCTGTCTAGGTAGAGCTCTGTGCGAGGCTACAGCTTGCACTGACTTCTGAAGGTTGCTGACCGCCGGCCCCCAGCTGCGATGCTGCGCACGGAGAGGGCGTGCTCTGCTCCGCAGGTCAGCAGCTCGCCGCCAGAGACGGGCCGGCACGCAGCTGGCAGCCGCAACCTCCAGAGCAGCGTTTGCGAGCTCCCCTGGAGTGACGGGCTCAGCAGGCGCTGGGGGCTGCGGCCTCGCGTAGAGGCAAGAGCCCAACCTCTCGGCTGAGTTGGCAGCATCTTCTTGGAAACTCCTGCTGAGTTTCTAATACCACGCTTAACCTCTAATTAGAAAAAGAAAAATGCAGTCTGCTGCATTCACCGTGAAAGGTTTTAAGTCACATTCTGTTTTGTCAAAGAAACAGAAAATACTTACTGCTTTCTCTGTACGCTTGCCGGGGACAACAGTCAGATGTGAGGGCCCCTGCTAACTGTTTTTTTCTCTTTTTCTTTTAGTCCACCCTTGGATTTATTGCCTTGCTAATTAGCACTCTTCACACGCTCACTTACGGGTGGTCAAGGGCCTTCGATGAGAACCAGTACAAATTCTACCTGCCTCCAACCTACACCCTCACGTTGCTCGTCCCATGTACTGTGATCCTAGCAAAAGTGATCTTCACTTTGCCCTGCATCCATCAAAGACTTTTGCGAATCAGGAGGGGCTGGGAAAAGGGGAGATACGTGAAGTTCGTCCTGCCCAGCGCAACAGGGGAATATTCAAGTGGGGAGACCTCCAGCAATGTGTAGCAAAGCCCCCGTTGTGACAGAGGATTTCAAAGCACTATCAACATTTCTATAAAGGTGTTTTTTTTTTTTTCCCCTTAAACATACGTATGTTTTGGTATAATTGTACTGTGGGTAAATAATAAAATTTGGTGACTTTAGAGAATGGATTACCACAGAACTAGATTAGGCAGTAGTATTTAAACTATATCGCTGGTTTGCTTGGACAATTACTGCCTTAAAGATCACCGTGAAAGCTGAGCTAGCAGCACTGTTATACATGGAAAACTGATGGGATTCTGTTAGATCAGTCACCTGAGAGGGTGGTTGGCATCTCTGTAGCACTACTTCTCCGTTGCTTCCCTATCCACTCTCACAAATTTCAATGCTTGTTTTTTTTTTTTTTTCTAATATGAAAGAGCACAGATTTTCAGGCCCCTATGTCAGGCAAGAAATCTGGCCTCTTGAGTGTCTGGCTCAACCAAAGCAGTGAGGCTTAGGAACATGAATTGTCTCTGGTTTTGGTCTCCTCAATGAACTCCACAGCCAAGTAAGAACAGAACAATATCCATGTTACGTAGCGTCTGCTGATTTTAGCAAAAGTATCCAGCAAGTCCAAGTAGTCCCGGTTTTTGCAAGTACAGATGGCACTTGTGTTCCTGTAAGCTGCCTGGCGCACATTTATAAGCTGTGGAAACAAATCACCTTTTCCAGCAGTGTAACAGCGTTTGAAGAGGGATGTCCCTAACATTCATGCCTCTCCTCCGCACTGCTGTCACTGGCATGACACCTACTGCTGCCATATGTTCTCTGTTTTATTAAACCAAAGATTCAGGCAGTATTTGATGGAAATAGAGTGAAGATAATTATCGGAATGACTTGCGGCTTTATGAAACTGCATGGAGAAAACCAAGGCCTTCTGGCAGGCCTTACATCAAATAATAAGGCGAAACTTTTTGAAAACATTGTCACCTGAGCATTTCCACTTATGCAGACAAAACAGCAGCTCTGAAACGCTTGGTTTCAGTAGCACTGATAAGATTTGTGAACTGTCTTGCAAAGGGATTAATGAGTCTTGACCACAAAGAAAATACAGCAAATACACATTTTGGCCATAGTCCTTCATTGCCTTGCGCCTTATAAAATCACTTACTAGATTGCACAGCAGGTATCCAACGCTGCTTTTCCAGCTTTACACCCACCTTGGATGAGGTACAGGGCAATGAAGAATTCTATCCTAATTTCATTTTCTTCCTTTCTCTTCCCACCCCTTCAAGCTCTTGTTCTTTATCAGCGTAGTTCTTTAGTTTTTGGATGATCCAAATCATTGGAATGGGGACTAGACAGCCATTCTTCCCAAAAGCTCATTTAAAATGCAGGCAATCAAGATGACACAAGAAAACTGCCTCAGAAGGTCAGATGTAAGGACGCGGTTTTCTCACAGTTAAGTAAAAGACACTACTTAGTGTTGAACATTGCTTTGAAAAATGACAGCTGTCAGTATCAAATACGGTATTAGCTTGTTATTAGACGAGCTAATATAAGTGCGGAAAATGGATCAGTTGGGGGCACATCAGCCCTTCTACAAGTCAGCATCACCTCTGTAGCCTGGATGATTTCTGCATGGACAGAGGATTTTAAGAATTCCCTGTTTGGCCTCAAATGACTGCAGAGAGTAATATTCTCCAACTACTGCTCAAGCTGCCAATGATGATACTCAGGGATTTCAGTTCTTGCATAAGGCTTACACTAAAGTCTCCAAACACCGTTTCTTTTCACTGAACAAAAGGAAATCAGCATGAGGGAAATGCTAGGATTTCAAAATCAGCTGATGATTTTGTTGCAAAGAGGGGAAGTTACCATTCTTTCCTGTTGTCCCGTTCAGAAAGTTGGTTATTCAAGCCCCACCGCCACCACAACCAAGCCCAGATCAGCAACTCATAAAAACGCTCACCACGCAGATATGTTAACCAGTAATATTTGCAGTTGAATGACAGGTTAATTTTCCGCATGGATGTGAGACAGTTTCACCTGGTATCATTCCACCCACTCCCATGTAACTCACCCTGGAGGTAAAATTGGATTCAGCAAGCTTGTTCTTTCCAGTCTCTGTTCCATTTCATCATCAGCCAAAGCCAACATAAAAGCAGCAGTTTGCACGTTTTCTGGCTACGATAAAGTATTCAAATGCCTTTTTTTCCACAGCTAAGCTTCTTTTCACTTCTTTAGGTCAGGCAAGACTACTGCCTGCTGCCAGGAAAAAAAAAAAAAGGGGGTGTAGGAGGCAGGAAAGAATATTACGCAGTCTTGAAGGCTTTGCCTTCAAGAGGGAAAGGTATGGTTTTACTGTGAGGTACTGCAAGGTCAGACTCACCTTTTTGCATTGCAGAACTAAAGTCTGCAGCTTTGATTTGTGTAACCTTCATGCCCACGTACCCTTTCCCATTGATGGCCAAAGGGGCCAGGTACAGGAGAAGAAACAGAGTCAGGCACCCAGACCTACCCGTGGAGAGGGCTCTGTTGGTGAGTCAGCAAGGTGTTTTTCAGACAGACGCCAAGCCCTGCGAGTGGACAAGCTGGTTCAGAAGTCATATAGCTAACACAGCTCTGCAGCATCTAACAACGGCTGATTAGGGGCCTCCCGGTCTTTGCCATCATACGGTCTAACTAGTCGACATCTCTTTAAAGACTGAAACCAACTCCTATAAATGCAGAACTAGAGCAGCATTTCAAATGGTGCCCTCTGTAGGTGTCTGTTCTTTAAAACCTTGGGCAATGGTTCAAATGATCTGTTCTGATTCTGGAATACTGAAAACTGGTTTGAGGAATTTTTAAATGATCTTCGCCTTTTTAATTTTTTTTCCCTACTGCATTATTTGATATTGATAAGAGTTTAGTGAGGTTAGCTTAAAATTTCCTCATCAACTTGTTTTGTATTTGGAGTTACCAAATATATATATATATATATACACACACACATATATGTATACACACACATTTATATATTTTATTGCAGAATACATAGCTGGAATGTAAATTCTTTATATTTTTATTTTCTGTGTTGCCTACTATGTGCCTCTGGGATAGGTGTGAACCAACTGAAAAGCTGTAAGAACAAGGCCAGTTTTAATCAGTTCTCATCATTGGCCTCTGTAGCTATATAAAAGTTATCCTGAACAGGTCTATAAAGTTACATCAGTACTCATTTGGGTCTGGTTTTTTTTTTCTTCCCTCCGCCTAGACAATAGCATTACTTTTAGGCATCTTTTTAGGAGGCAATGGCAGTAGTGGAGGATAGTGTGATTACCCAGAACTTAAACACAAAGAAACAAGACTCGCTACAGACAGCGTCTGTAGAGAGTCTCGTTATCAAGATAATAAGCAAAAACGATCATTGCTTGACCCAGGCTGCCAGAGCCTACATTACAGAGTTCCTCTGCACGTGGGAGGGCACAGCCTACTCATGTGTGCGTGCAGACATACATTTAATTACAGGAGGCTAGTGATATTACACAAGCAGCTGCAGCACAGGAATGGACAAGCTTAACTCAGTAAGCAAAAAGTGCAGTTGATGCACAGTTCTAGGACGAGGGAGTTACGGATGAGGCTTATGGGAACAGAAAGAAAGGAGTTTCAATACTATCATTTTGTTCTCCAATTCTTAAATCGCTTCTTCATAAACGAGGCATGCCAGATCAACCAACTTCTAGATCAGCAGCGTTGCATTTTAATGAGCTAATTTGTATGTTGATTTTAATGAGTTCATTTAAATTCCTGTGCTGAAGCTTAACCTCTGCAGGTACAGTTCTTTCACTCCTTCTGTTTTATAATACAAGGCTTTTAGCAGTGCAATTGGTTTTTTGCTCTCCAAGGATCTACTTGCAAAGTGATATATCAAACTACAGTTAAATGTTTAGGGAAATGTAGTTGCTGCAGCACCTCTATACAATATATTTCCTCCAGTCTCCCCAAGATGGCAGACGCAGCAGCCTGGGATACTAGAAGCAGCAACAAAAGTCTGATATATCCTCGAGCTCAAAATTTCACACGTTGTGTTAGTGGGACCTGCAGATTGTGCCTCAGCTTTGAAAAACTAGGTTTGTTACACGAGGACAGTTTTCTTTAATATATTTATTTTGCCTTAATAAGCAGCAACATTTTTGCAGAATTTTTGCATGAGGTTTTTTAAGTGCAAGTCAAAACCACACCTATTTGAACGTTAAGCATGCAACATACTGCAGGACGATATCATCTAAGATCAGAGACAATTCCTCAACAGGAACTGCGTAGCACTTTCACATTCAAAAAACTAAAAACGCTTGTGATCCTCCTGACTGGCCCCACACACAAAATAAGCCATAGGATTAGAGGAATCCTTCAGAGACTTAAAGGGGCACTACAGCAGCTCTCCCAGAGCTATAATCTGCTTTAAATTAGAAACCTCAGCAGTGGAGGATCCACTATAGCTGCTGTTTGGCTGGTTAGTCTTATCTGCTTCTCGTATGTGATCTGTGTTTAGCTAGCTTCAGCTTTGAGCTGCTGCTGCTATTTGCCTGTCTACTGGCTTAAAGAGTCATCTACAATTAGGTGACTGCTTTTAAGTAGCTGTCTCATTCAGCACTCTAGAAAATAAATACAAGAGACAAGTCTGCTTTCTGCAAGACCAGGTTCCTTTTATTTAGGAGAAAAAAAAAAGTGGTGAGAAAGTACAGTAATACTAATTGTTAAGATATGAGGCTTTCACTTCTAGATTGCTTCTTTGACTCTAAACCAACTAATGTGCTCCAGTTGGATGGAGACCAATACATACGGAGAGCCAAAGTTGTGACCTCAAAGTAGTATGGAAAACAGACCGATACCTTCCATATTAAAAATCTCAGTCCACTGAAGAAAAGGGGCTTCCCAAACTGGCCTTTTAAGAATATGTCTTGAGTTTAGAACAGAAGGGTAACACACCTAGAACATGTTTTTCTGTGCTGGGCCCATGGCCCTACAGACTCCCTGGGCTTCGTGTTTGAAAGCAGAATTAAACCTTGCTGGGGTATGAAATGAGAGCAGATAGAAGCAGTTCTTACAAACTTGCTGAAATTCTAGGTACACAGCACCAAGTCACCTGCCTGAGGGCAGAATTGGACATACAAAGGTAAATTCTTGTATTAATCTAGACTGTCATACTGAGCACTTAAATATATTCACTACCGACTGAAACTTGCACTCTTCTGGCTACCTGCTTTTGGCCCACTACAAAGGGAAGAATCTACTGCTATTCAAAGAGAGGGAATATTAGCAAACAAAAGGTACACTCCCTGTATGACCAAACATATCATATGTGCATGAAGATAAAACCTCTGCACCCCTCTGCTCTCCCACTGCATCATCAGCCCAAAAACCCATCTCAGCTACCTGCCAAGCATGCCATACTTCAAGAAGCAGGAGGTCCTGGTTTCCAGTGAAGCCAAGTTGGGTGATGTGCAGAGGGAAGAGGAGTGAGAACACCTCCCAAACAACCTGCACCACAGTGCTGACTGCAACCCTGCACACAGTCCTCTTCTGCTAACAAGGACAGCACAACTGCAATCTCCTATGCATCAGCTCCAGAACGTGTGTGGTTGCTGAAGGTTACACTGATAATTTGGAAGCAATGAGCTGTTCTCAGGAGCAGCAAGCTGTGGCAACCCCTGAGGATTACAGCAGCACTATGAGGCCAGAAAAAAACAATAGAAGAAGAAACCCAAAACAGGAGGAAGTAAGAATGTAGGTCACCCACACTCTACCCCTCACTTACTTTAATCTCCTCCACAGTCTTTCTGGCATCTGCAAGCTGCTGCAAGAAAAGCAATAGGAATCTCAGCAGAAAGCTCAGGCACACTTTCTCCCCATGCAACAGTTCAAATGTACCCTTTTAACCAGGCAGGATCTATGCACACTTCCATCATTCAAAGCATAACGCTATGCACAGTGCTAGGGTTTCTAAGCTCTAAAACTCATATTCCATCACAGCTCAGAAAGCATGGCCCTGAGAACACAGTGCCAGGTTCTCCTCTGCTCTTGCACTACAAGGAAGAAATAGTAGGAGCTTAGGGTCAGAAGCATGGAAGACATCTGTTGTGTGTTTAAGCTGTGTTGCTGAAGATTTACTGCTCTGCTTTGCATGTCTGTCTGTTCTGGGTGGTTTTTCTTGTGTTTAAAAAAAAGTATACTTTACGAAACCTCAGCAAATTAACGCTGCTCTTTTCCAGACAATTCTTCAAATGAACGTTCTGCAAATGCTTCCTCAAGGCATGCAAAGATTTAGATACGCTGGAACAGGCTCTGCAAAGGATGCCCTCTAACAAGAGGAATTTAAGCACTGATACCAGTTCAATTTGCCGCTTTTTGATTTCAACATAAAAAGAAACACTTTCTGCTAGGAGAGCATCTGCTTTCATCCCTGGAGTCCTAGCACAGGCTTTGTAAGTTCAACTAATTCACAGATAAGCACCCTTCCTAAACACTAAGTGTTTCTTGGCTTACACAGGCTCTGGAGAATGAAAGAACAGGCTGTGCTGACATCTGGTGGCTTTCTCTGCAGGCAAAGATAGTTTATGGCAACAGGTCTTGGTTTTCGTTGCATTCCCCATGTAACCTCTCTCCTCTTTCCTTCCAAGATACAAAGCTCATGATGAAAACTTTCCTTTTCAGCTGACAGTGGACAGTGCTATCCTATGTAAGTCTTTCAGTAAAGCAGCAAAGGATCCTCTGCTGTGCACAATTAGCTGCACTGTAGAAGAGGATTCTTCTTTATTTCAAAGGATATTCCTTCATGAACTGAAAAAAAAAACCCCCCCCCCCCAAATTCACTGTCACAGGAAATGCTGCTACTGCCTAACAGAGGAAGTACAAACACACTGGAAATCAGAAGAGCTGGCAGCAAGAAGGGAAGCGGCAGAGAAAACATAGAGGTGTGTCTGTATCATCAAAACAAAAGGCCTTGACAAGTTGCCCCTCTCACTCAATAATAAAGTGAATAGTAGGAAAGAGTCAGTGTGCTGATAATAGGAAGAACGGCAAAATTGTCTACAGGCCATCTTTGCTAGATTCACTAATCATTTGCAAATCTGTGCCAAGTGGTACTACAAAAAGAAAGCCATCTGGTGCCAGCCAGCAGGACTGAGCTCAGTCCAAACTGTTCAATAAGCACAAGTGCACGTTTACTTCAAGCGTTCGTAAAGCCTCCAGGTCGCTGCCATAGACTCTGAAGCCAGGATCGTCTCAGCCACGCGAGCCCAAAAACAAGTATCACATATTCTATTTTCTTACTTTTGATCTGGGGACATTCAGGATTTCTGTGGCTGTAAGTTTGCAAGAACAAGATCTGCAGAGGTCCTGTAACTGCTGTGGTAACTGCTGGACTAACTATGACCTGCAAGTTTATTTTTTAAGTGAACCGTCTGTCAGGGGATGTCCTCTATGCTCCTAGAGTGAAAGAGAAACATCACAGCTTGCGTCTTCTCCCTGGATCGCTTCTAAGCCAGCATGTTTGCATCAGATAATGCAGCTCCCCAGCTGTAACGGTGGTGCATATCAGATCTTTGAGGACGCCTCTATGCCACCGGTAACTGGCAGCATTTAACTCGCTAAGCTAACTGTGTCAGCCACTTTCTTAGCTCTTGCCTCTTCAAGAGGCAGTACAACTACCTCTGGATAGAAAAACACACAAAAGGATTTGCATGAAGAAATCTAAATGTGTCAGAGCCAGAAGAATCAAGGTGCCTATTCCAGTAGTTTGCAACTTCAACACCAAAGCTGATTAAAATTCACAAATGAGGTAAACTGTACCATTTTCATACCTTTAGAGATATAAAAAGCAGCACCACTCAGGTAATTCTGTATCAAGAGTGATGTATATTGAAGATTTTCTGTGTTTATTTAGACTTACCTCTCCTTCCCTCTCAAGGTAATTCTTCTCCCAGTTTCCTCTCATGTCTAGTAGCTATTCTTCCACTTCCCTAACTGCAACTCCAGTCTCTCTGAAATCATTTTCTTTCTCCAAGAAACACCCCAGCTCCCCCCTCCCAATTGAATCACCTTTCCCTGCTACACTGCTATAACCCAGGAGAAGTCAGTTCTTATTTCAGCATGCACCCTGGAGGACATAAAGGGCATTAGAGGAAAAACCTGCTCTTTCTGTTAGAGGGGAAAAAAAAAAAAAACTGCTAGTGAAAGACTCCAAGGAGATCATACTGAAAGATGAATCCTCATTAACCCCACAATGACTAAGACTAGCAAAGCTGTACAACTTACCACTGCACATTATGGAGAAGTCACCTTAAATTAACAGTAATTGTGAACCAATTCAGTTCATGACTGAATTCAGTTCTGCCAGGATCACAAACCATGATACCAACTGTGGCGGTGGTTTCCTTTAATAGAAGGGGGATTTCATGAAGACATGGGCAAAGACAGCTCAGTCTTCAGCATTTACTAATTCATTAGTCAGCATTCACAGATCTCATTCAGTACTCAATGATTCTGGAATCAAATCTACTTTGACACAAGGCTACACATTCCCATATTCCTATACCATATCCCACTGAAAAATGTTGGAACAGCATCTGTTTTAGCAAGTTCTCAGTGATTATCTACAGGGGGTTTTTGCTTGTTTGGTGGGTTTTTTGAAAGAAGTGTTACTAAAACTCCAATTAAAAAAAGCACAGTAGAAAAACACTTCAGAAAAAATCCAGTTTCCAAGCAGCGTCACTGAGAGCATTACAAAAGGCTCTACTGTGCTGCTGCAGAAAAGAGCCAGTGAAGTGCCACGGACACAGTGAAGAGAGTTCACAAGCAGTAGTTTAACCCTTCCCTCAGAAAGGGAGGCTAGTCCAGGATGACACATTATTTTTGGATATTTGCATTAAAAAAAAACTTTTATAGCTTTCTTCTTGATGCTACAAAATTGATGCATTCAGTGTCACACTGAACTTTTGTAACTATACTAGTCCAGGAAGGACGCTGGTTAAACCTTGATGACTCATTTAAGCACAAATGCACTAGAGAAAATGGATCACAGGAACAACCCAAGTCTTTCTGAAATGGCTGGAAATCAGATCAAAATCCCCAGAATAGAAGGAAAATGATAACAATCATTGCTCAGCCCGAAAGCTTGAGTGTGCTGACAAACATCTAGATGCCTTGGTAGGGCAGCCTGAGAAACTGATTTTTCCAGTATGCCATCTATTTCCTGCAAAGTTGTCTTCGTTACAGTAAACGGCAGAACAAAGCTGGTATCATCTGGAGTGCAATGCATTAGCTTAAATTGTTTGTGAAGATGAGTACAAACTCATCTTCAAACTCACACTAGCCAGACTAATCTGGCAAATATGACAGACTGTAATAAGGTAGCTGAGACATGTGCACCTGTTTGAGGAGCAGGTACCAGTAACAGAAAGGAGACACGGACAGAAAGAGGAGGGAAACATTAAATCCTTCCAACAAAATCCATCAGAAGATGCATATCCACATCTAAGACCCACGAGAACACCAGGGTCTTCATTGATACAGGACTCCTCATTACAAGATGAGGATACAATCGCCCTTTCCATTGCAGATAAAGTGCTGGACAACCTTCACAAGAGAATAAAACTCCATTTGAAGCAAAGCTGTTGGTGAGTAACACCAGGCACCTGAAAGGACTCCAGCCTAAACCAGAGAGTTGTCAAGAAGGATTTAAAAATGATACAGGAACAATACATAAAGGTTTACTTGGCCCTACATCTAAAATAAAGAGAACTTTTATTTAGAAACTTTGGAAATCACACATCTGCTTTCACTATCACAGATCCATTAAAATAGTCAAAGCCCTAGCAAATGGTAAGCTTATTTCTCCGGAGAGTTTCTAGTGGAAATGCTGTTGTCAGCTGTCAACCAAAGCTGAGGGCAGAGGTGTGGCTCTAAAGCACACCAGGTCTCATGTCTGAGCTGAGCCCATGCCCTAAAAGCCTGCTAAAAAGAGAGGCAGTATCACTATTTGAGTGAACAGAGGCACAGTGACCCATCTTGGCAACCCCTAAAATGCAGCTTCATGAGCGTCTACCGAAAGGCACTTTACCGGATACATGATTATTCGTTTATTATTATTCTTGATATGGTTAACATAGCAGGAAAGCTTGGAATTACAAACTAACATTTAGCAACAGAGTACTCAGCTTTAGGAAAAGCAGGAAGGAATCAATCCCAGCCTTGAAGGCATCAGGCTCACAGACTGAGTCCCTCCTCACAAAAACGCAATCACTCAGGTTTTATTCTTAAAACTGAAACCATGAGCTTTTACTCTGTTTGGGAAAAATGCCCAATTCCTACTTGTACATACCGACGTCCTGCAAGAACTCAGCTTGCTACGTCTTACATGAAGGTGTTTCACTGAAATAATGCAAGAAACAAGCAGGCTGGTCCTTGAAGACAAAAGCCTCTGAACAGTTATTTGTCTGTTTCAGTGTGCTAAAGAGGGCTGGAAGAGAGTAAAAAGAAAACCATTCACCAGAGAAAAATATGAAACAATAGTCAGTCTGCACCATTTAAACAAAAGACACTAAACATAAAATGAGTGCACAAAAGCTATTACTTGAAACATAGAGATTCTCTTGTCAAGCTCTCTAAAATACCCAGTGATCCGGTCATTAAAAGTTTCCATTTTCATTAGAAGAAGATACTGCTGTGATGAGATTTTGCTCTGCATTGTATAATCTCCATATGCAGTTAATGTCTGCTGTAGGATCACACCGAGAACGTATGTCACAGGTCAGAGATCAAACGATCTACAACACCTACGTTTTAAGAGGCAAGCAAAGGAAAAAGAAATGTGAGAGGGGAAAAGAAATTGCATTTATGTCCCCCAGTTTTCCTTCGCTCAGTCTTAGCATCCTGACAGAAATTAATTTCCATAGGAAGGGAATTGCAATGTTTGTAAAGCAATCCTCTAGGATTTATTGATCTTTAAAAAAAATCTCATTAAGCAGAATAAGGAGAATTTACAACAGGTAGGGGAAAACAAAACAATCTCGTGGGATCTTCACCAGGCCGAAACAGGATTAGCTTTGTAGTTTCTGTAATCTTCCTCACAGAAGAATGCTAATTCAGTTTCATTTGCTAGAACAGATTAAAAAAAAATAAAATATTTAGCACACCAGTAAAAAACCCACCCAACAGCCAAATAGTTAGACTCTTAGAACGGAATTGGTGACTTTTTGGCCAAAGGTAATTACAAATCACTTTTTTGTAAAGACTCTAGGACTAAAGATGTAGTTTAACCTCATTAGAGGAAGGAGAACCTTAACATATAGAAGTAAATACATACACAAGACCCCTCAAGATTTGTTTAACACAAAGACTGCAGAATTGTTTGTATAAGCATTCAGCAAATTAAGTGACAACATTTGTACGCCTTAGAATGCTAGAAAAATAATGAAGCATCGTTTTCTCTCTTTTTTGCCCATCTTTCTGTTAGGAAAGGGGAAAAGAAACAATCTTTTCCATGAAATTAGCCTGTAGGTATAATAATTTAATACTTAGAGGATCAGTAGAATATTTTACCGATCACTTTACATTCTCCCTCATGACCCATCAAAATATGTGTCTGAAGAAGTTAATTTTTTGCCCTGCTGATGATTAATTCATGAGGCTTCAACAATATGCAAAGTGAAAGACACAAATTGGCTTCTCCAGCAATACCTTCAAATACCTCTAATTATTCACAGGGGATATGGCAGAGCTAAAGGACCCACAAAGGTTCAGAGCAGTTACAATTCTTTCAACCCAGTAGGTCAAGGACTTCCTCTTCCAAAACAATAAGTCAGCAACATTACTAATTCAGAACAGAGACAAATCTGATGGAAAGCCTTCACAATTATTAAACATGGAATTCTTTAAGGTGCTGAGCCAATAAGATTCACATTCGTTTTTTAAATTAAACCTGAAGTTAATAAAGTCTGCCAGTCTGCTTAAAAAAAAAGTAGAAGGAGAATCTCAAATCTTAACTAGAAAACAGACAAGACTGTTTGCAGTGAATGCTGAACACTTTATTAACATACATCCTGTTCTAAATACAGGCAAGCACTAACTTCTGTTGACTAGGTAATAGCTGTAATAATCACTACCACAGAGACTTTCCTGAGGATACTTATCCAATGTCCTCCTAATTTATAACTCTCAAGCTCAACTCTGAAGTGCCAAAGCAATCAGCTGCCGCTTAGAAAAAAAATGTTCTGCCTGTCTCAGAATTTCTCAGATTTTCTAGAGGCAATTTTCTGCTATATTCTAGTAAATCTTGTCTAGATATTAAAAAAAAAAAGTCAGTGGAAGATTTCAAATCTTACTGATTTAAATGAAAACACACAAAATGAGGACTAACAGTGCACAGTCTCATGCTTCACTTCCTCGGTTTATTATTTTCCAGTTCTTGAAGGAAAAGGAGGACTTTTCAGAGACTCTCCTACAAAGACTCCTTTCCTAAATTAGCTAATTTTCATATCAAGATATCCTGGAACACAGCAAAATTCAAAACAGTATAATGGCATGCTGCATTTTTCAAAGTACGAGTTTTTCTTTTCTGTGATAAATGCCAACCACATAGCAGTGACTGACTGCTGTTATTTTGAAAAAGTAAAGAACCGCTTTAAATTGTTTTCTTCCCTGATTAAGCCACCTCTCTCTTTGTACAGAGAAACAGAACAATCTAGTTTATTCCAATTTGCTTTCACGGTAATATTTACTCTAATATTTAGATGCCTTTCCTGAGATTGCATTCAACTCTTTCACTGCTGGAGCTACAAACCTAGTTTAGCAGATGGATAATATATACAAACACTTAGCAATACTTTTTTGAATGAGGGCAGCCCTGGACAATACCAAACTCTAATTCAACATTTGGCACTGTCATCAGGCCCTTCCCTAAACTGTGTTGCCTCTTAAATCTTAGGCAGATAAGAATCATGCTTAAATGAATCTTTTGCCAACTAAATTACAAATCCATGTGACTTGACGGCGAGCAATCGTCCTTCCTAAGGAACTATTTTTCTTCCAGATGAAAAGGCCTGGTTTAGTAGGAAAAGCCAGAGAATAACTATTAGTCATATTATACGAGTGCGCAAAAGTTAAGTAGTTAAGTAGAGTTAAGTAGTCCACCTGACCAATGGTAGAAGCTCCACTACTTGGAACATGTTAGGCTGGGTGAAACAGAAGAGCTAAAGAACCTACGAAAAAGAAAAACCATTCACTGGCTGGGGGGGAAAATCAGAGGGCAGCAAGAACAGGAGGGAGCTTTCTTCGTGACACCCCTGCACTTTAGTGTGCAGATAGTTGTGTGTTACAGCAAGGCAAAGCAAACTCAAATGAGTAAGTGCCCATACCACGGCAGAACATAGCTGCGTCCCTGAAGTACCCTGCTGCCACAAAGTCATTCAGCCACGTTTATGAGGGAGCTCAAAGGACATCCAGGAACCATCAATTTTAGCGTGACAGACATTTCTTTACATTATTACCAAAAGACATGCCTTATATGCATTCCACTGTCAAAATGTGAGAAATCAGGTCAAGTTTCAACTCTATGCTATGTTCAGCACATTCTCTAAATGATACTACTTGAGCTTTCCCGAGCAATCCGACTGTCAGGCACAGTATGTTGCATGTTAAACAAATCTAATCTTATTTCATTATTTCATGCTGGTTCCACTACTTACATTTCTTACCAAAACATCAGTCTAAATGTTACTTATAAGACTAAGCGGACTTGGTGCTAATAACCTATCTGTCAATCATTTAAAATTACTCTCAGCAGAATAATAAGCACACCTTCTAAAAATCACAATTTGCATTCTGCACATTTGGAGTGCAGATACCTGCTGCCCTCAGTCCAATGATCTGAATGTACGTTATCCCCCCTTTCTCCCTGAATAATTATCAGGTAGTGTAAAGAGCATCAGGAATAGCATTTACTTTTCAGCAGGCTATCCAAACATAATCAACCAGTTATCAGTTTAATGACAACTGCAATGAACAGCGCCTTCAGTCAATACAAATGTACTCCTACCTACTCCAGCTGCTTTCAGTGTGCTTTCTTCTTTCAAAATGAGTTTGTCATCATCTTCCAGACCCACTACAAGTTCATTGGTCTACAAATTAAAGAGCCAGAACAGAAAGATAAGAATAGGGTTCACGGTCTCTTCTCCAGAATTGTTTTACAGCGCAGAGATCTGCCTGCATTAATGCACATAAAACAGGAAGAATACAGATAATAACCATACCTTAGACTTGTGAGCTTGGTGAATAATCTTCATCGTATCTGAAAGAAAATGCAATGTTTTCCTAAAACAAGGCTTATGTGGTAGGTAACACTGAAAATTGTATTTGGGAAGGAGAGAAAAGCAGAGGAGTAAGGTTGAATTTTTTTAAATAATTTTATGTATTCAGTTTAAAAAAAGGGGGGGGGGGGGGGGGAGGAAGCAGGATTTCTATTTCTTAGTCCTGCAGCCACAGGCTTTGACCAGACTGCATGGCATACAATCCAACCTTAAGGTACCACATCTTATTGGATTTCTGTCTGTTGGCTGAATTACAGTAACTAACTAAATGATCATCCCAATTGCCAGACAAAGCACATCAATTTAAATGTCAGTTAGGGTGTTTTAATCAAACAGGTTTTATCCATGCAATTGGGGTAGGACAAATAACGGTTCATTCACTATCAACTACTATTGTTAAGCTGACAGGCAGCAACCGATTAAAATCCAGTAACCTGACCACTTCAGATCATTCCTTGAAATTATCCTTCTCCTGAATTAGCACCCAGGGTAGAAATTATGCCATATGAAGAAGTAAAAAAACATTCACTTTCCAGTGGCTGTGTGAGCATGGTTTTGTTGGCAGAAAGGAACAATTGGGGAAAAGAATGTGGTACTTGAAGCAAATAGCTGAGTGAAAACATGCAGAGGGAATGGAAATCTGAAGATGCCCATGCAGCAGTTTAAAAAAAAAAAAAAAACACTAAAACATCTACGTTTGAACAAATTCAGAATAACATACTGATCCCTTCTCAGCAAAGAAGCAAGAGACAACGCTGTTTGGCTGCTTGGTTTCTGTTCTAGTTTTGTTTTGTGCTTTAACAGAACACTACATACGGAAAAAGTCTGGTAAGAGAAGGATGCAAGAAAGTTAACTGTAGGCTAAAATAATTTTCAAACAATTGAGAGCAAGTATTCATATGGTGAGAATAAGAGCTGACATTCCCGTTCAGAGTTTTGCTTCTATATCTTTAATGCACAAACGGGTACCACTTTGGCCCATATCGAACATTTTATTTAGAACACTACGGATGGTCAAAACTACTCCATATTGCCACTGAAAAGGCAGCACTAGTATGCAATACAAGTTACAGAATTACCCACACTCCTTCAGAGGCAAGACATGAAATAGCGATCACCAAGATCCATCTTGCATAGAAGTATTGCAAAAAGTCCAAGCAAGCAGAGCAAAAAATATCCTGCAATCATGAAACCATTCTACTACTGTGAATACAATCCAGCATCTGCCTAGTAGCTTTAAGGTTCTAGAACTACTTTGCCCCATTCATTCCCCTTTTTTCTGGTCTTTTCTCAGTTATTCTCTGAACTGTTGTCTCAGTTTTACTTGTTCACATCTCCATGACTGGTATCTGGCAGTTTACCACACCTTCATTAGAGAGAAGCCATTTAATAAACCTAACTCCATTAGAGAGATGAAGCTGCAGCCTCTTCTCATCCTAACTGAAGCCTTATGTCCTCTCAATTGCCTTTGCTATTTCAACCCAGTCTAGTCCCACTCAATCACATTCCCAGATCTTTATATTATATTACTGTCTAGTAACAGGTCTTCCACAACAATAGACAAGAAATCACTTTTTAAGACTGATTGTGTTGAGTATCTACCATAGTGCTCCACATTTATGGAGAAAAAGGGAAAAGCTGCTTGTAAGACAAGACAGCACATCAGTGAAAAGGGGGCAATGACAGGGTAGCAAGACAAGACAATGGACTGGGAAGAGTTCTAAAGCCAAGGGACAAGAACGGTGCATGCAAAGAAATGAAGATTTGAAAGTCATAAGATGTGAGTTGGTCAGAGCAATAAGCCAAGAGGAAAAATCAGAGGCTGAGAGAACAAAGTGGTGCTGGATTCTGGAGAGAAGGAAGCCAAAGCAGGTTAGATGAGAGCTGGCCAGGTCCAACTGAGATTTCTGGCAGCATTAAACAAAGAAGAAAGAAAAATGCGACTCCTAAGAGTACTGTTCATCCACAAGTCTCACTGCCTTCTCATCACCAGAATGCAAGACAGACAGTAGAGTGCAAGAGACGCCAAGAACATGAATCTGGATGATTCAAAGCCTAAGGGAAAGTTCAGAACCTGGGTTTGATTTTTCTGTGTGAAAATTCAGCCTAGCTGGCACCACCCCACTAAAAGCAGGCCTCCACTAACTGGTGTAACAAGTTTTAAATTTCTGCACTGTTTTGCACCCACACTATGCCTAGCCCTAGCAGAGCCATCAGGTGCTGAGCCACAACATATACCTTAGGCAAAACTAAACACGTGCTCCAAGTGATTGAAAGAACTAGCAGCAGGGATAAGCAGCAACAGGAATACAACTAACAGCACAGGACTCCCTCGTCTAGCCAAAGTAACAGATAATAGGGGGAGGATGGGCACCTCCAAATTCAAAGCCACAGTTCTCTAGACTGGTAAGACTTTAAGCAATAGATAGATAGATAAAAAGTTCAAGTCCTTGCTACCGACACACTGTAAATCTTAATCCCTCTTTTCCTGTTTTTATTTTGCACTGTCTGGCTCATCAGCAGCATGAACACAAAATGAGATGCTTGGCTTTTCTTTTTTTTTTTTTTTTATGTCGTAAAATACCAGCAAAGTAGAGTCAATCACTATTTACATGCATTAAATAGGTTATTCATTCAGCTCCTGCAATCACTGTGGAGGAAGCTGCTCACTGACTCCACCAAGAACATGGGAGATAGAGGATCACTTGCAGCAAACCCTCAAGTGAACTTTCAGAATGGCCAAGTTTAGAAGGGGGCAGGCCATAAAAAAAAGATATGTTATTAACCATGCAAGTAACCAAATTCCAAGAAAGAAATAAATTTAGTCCATCTAATAAGCATATTTTGTCCCAAACAGGATGAATTGCACCTGTTCAGTCCAAACTTCACAAAAAGGAAATATACACATAGCTTTATGTTCAAGGATAAATTCAACCTAACTTTTACATCAGGCTGCTTCATTCTGTCAACTTGTATTTAAGAGCTTTCCTAATTACTTTGAGCAATGTTCCCCTCCTCCTTTTATATTATGTTAATTATTTAAGTATCTCAGTCTTAAGCATTTTTCATTCACTGTCTTCAGCTCCTGCTTTGCCATCCTTTCTGACCTCACAATTAGTAAATAGATACTGAAATATATAAGCACAAAGAACTACGATTTCAAAGCATTTAAGGTCACAAGCTGCTCTGTAGCACTTACAGGACAGAGTTAAAAGGCACTTACAAAAGCGATAAAAAATTAATACCAAAATCCACCAGTGCCAATTAGCAGAAGAATGCACAATGCGCAGCCTATGTCAAAGATTAATACAGAAGTTCAAAATAATGGTCAAGGTTTTTGATAGCATCCCAGTGGCACAACCCCTGCTACAAGCGTAGGATACAGAGTTGCAAATTTAGGCAGGCAGTGCAACTGGCATAAAGATACTAGTCAAGAATTACTACATTCTCCAGTTGTCGTCTTCTAAACTGTACAAAAACTAGCATAAAATACTATGTCCACATTTCGTGGGGAGGAAAAAACAACAACACACACACCTACCATACTTGTAATTTTTAAAAGGAGGAGGAAGTCCTGTTCTTGAAGGCACATCTGTTAAAATAAAAGTACCACATTAAAACAAAGTTCCCTCCCCCCCCACAATAATACACAGGAGTTCAATGCATGCATTCTGGACTGCCACATCAAAATAAATTCTCAAAACAGGAGACTTGTTTGAGCATTTGTATGCAACACTAGACTAATATTGCCTCATGCTCTAATCACGATCAAGCACTGCCACAATAACCAAAGTATGCTCACTTCCATTGACCAAAATGTGACAAAGGAACATATTCACAAAGAGCTGCAAAACTCCAGAAGGGGAAAAGGATGCTCCAAAGGATGTAACAAGGTGATAACAGGCTGATGAGCCCAGATAGCACTTCTGGGACTCAACAAATAAAAGTCTGACCAGGGAATTTGGAATTCCCATCGGCTGGTCCAAGTCACTCCTCTGAAGAAACCATGCCTTGGTTCCTGCAAGCTTGCCTAGTATAGCTCTCTACGTACTTGCACACCTAGACAGTAACCCTAGCTCAGTATTATCGGATAGCTGGGTTTACTGTCATTTTGACTGCAATCATGACAATATTTTTTGCCTTTATTATTTTGCTATAACTTCACAGTTAACTAGTTAGTATTAAACTACTAGTCTCAGCGTGCTTGTTACTGTATCCTGAACCAACGCTGGAACTAAACCTTTCATACAGCATCAAAGACAAACATAACCTTTGGCTCTGATACTACAGTTACTCTGTATCAGCTTAACTTCACTTGACCATGCAGTCCCAGTGAACCTAACTACCCACGAGGACTGTGAATAAACGCAATCAGGATATGACTGTGGGGCTCTGATCCTCCAGAAATCAGACAAGAACATCCTGTTATTGGTTTTATAGTCTGAAGTCCAGCATCGCTCACTACCTTATACAAACGGCACCCTGACAATTGTCATTCGTAATTGGATTGTTCTGTAAACACAGCCATGGTTTTGTGACTGTTTTACACGGTCAAAAAAAGGAAGCCAAACTGCCGAAAATTAACTCTTTAACAGCATACAGGACAGAGCCCATAAGCAACTCCAAGAACACCGACACCTTCCTTCCTGCCTGTGTCCCCAGTGACGTCTAAGGATTTATCCCAGGTCTTGGAAGACCGAGCCACTTCTAGGGTGCTTGGCACTGAGACAGTCGAAACCATAATTTCATCAGTAATTAAAAAATTTATTTCAAATTCCTCCTTCAAAAGAGATTATAGTAAGGGAAGAACATAGCTTTTGGACCAGGAACAGCTATATCCATGTGTGGAATGCTGTTCCAAAAAGCCTTCCTCAAACACTAGCTTTGTCTCAAATAACAGAAAGTTGCAATACTGCACATATCAAAAGCAAGTTTCCTAGCACTGTTTTTCATGTTATTCTTCATAACAGCAGCTGTGCCATGTGTTCTGAAAGTGTCTGTTGTTTTCCAAAGCTTTCCTAAGATCTAGCCATACCTATTACTGTCTAGAATTACAGAAGCTGCAGAAAACACAATACAGCTGTGAGGCAAAGGGCAATGTCCTAGAAGTTGCTCAAATGTGATCAACTGTAACAGGCTAAGGCTTGCTTAAACTGACATCACACAAAGAATCAAACACTGTTGTTCTGCACCTTTAAACGCCTCCATTTAAGTGCATTGAAATACATCTGCAAGATGAGCATAACACCCTACCTACTCCGCAGCTGCGTGGGCTCGTGTACATTAATTAACCTGTAGCAATACTGTCACATTCAACCAGGCTTCTAAAATATGAGGCCCACAGATGAGTAAAGCTGGGCCACAAAGCTCAAGACGGAAACAAAAACTCAGAAGAAAACTAACAACAGACTTTTGTTTCCTCATCCCACACGTTGGTGCAGTTCCAAAGCATCAAGGGCTCTCTAAATTCTATTAATTTACCCCTGCTAACTTCTGAATAGCTGCCTGACAGCACTGCCCATGGAGTCTGAGGCACTGAGCCAAACGCAGCACAGTCCTTGCCTTGTTTCGACTAAACATGGGGATTTGGGCAGGGGGAGTAGTCTCTACACAAATTTAGGCATGGCACACAGACCGTGGAAGTTCTTATAAACACCAGTCCTCTCATGTAAGAGAGGAGAGTGCATAGGGGATGCAAATACAGATCTCTAGCAAAGCCACAGAATTTTCCCATTCGTTTGCTCCCCTCCACTTTCTTTGGCGGAGGCAGCAACATACAAGACTGAAGCAAATGAATAAGAGCACAGCCCCTCACCCTTCTGTACAAAAGTAATGAACTGCTTCACTGTCTGATCCAAGTTAACTCCATGATATACCACAGGTCTGAAATTCCGGTGCTCAAAAGAACGAACAAGACGAACTGTGATGGTTGAGCTTTCTGTTGACATGAGAATTAATTGTGAACAACCTGGAAAACATTAAAGAGAGTAATTATTGACTTTCCACTATGTGCGAGCCCAGCTAGAAAACAAGGTGCAGGTAGGACTCATTCAAAGATTAAAACATGGTGATATTTTAAATAACATTATGCTTTTCAAGCCTTCACTTCTACTGTTTCCACAGGAGCTATAGCAGGATCTCAAAACAAACACAGCTACCTAGGATATTATCGACATTAAACACCAAATAGTCCATATTAATTTTGCATTGATTACAATGGCTCAGCACAGAACACTGCACCAGACTGTTTATATAAACAGATAAAAGTGGTATGGATAAATGTAAATCCGTCTTTTGGTTTTTAAGTGACTGAGACTTTACCTAAAAGAATGCAATAGCACAAACAAAGACAAAGTCTTTTTAATATACTTACATTGTAGAGAGTATAATACTCCGAAAAATGCCTAAGCTGTTTCACAGCACTCATTTTCATTGTGTTAAAAGAAATTAAAAAATTTTCCCCCCACACACACATACAAAAAATTCCCCTGGTATACTATTATACAATTTACATTATTAATTTACACCACATGTATCTAGAATAGCTCTACAAGACTTATACTACTTTACCAGAGAGCAGAACCTAAAATGGAATAGTTTTATCAGCCTACGTCCCTCTTTAAACAAATTGCACGTTCTTTTTTAGTTGGGTTCCTTCTCTGCACATGAGCTACTACCCCGACAATCCGTCTACTTTTGGTGCTCTGTATTCCTCAGTAACCTGGTTTTCTGTTCACAGGCTAGCTGTTGCGGCAGCAGCAGTGAGAAAAGACCACAGTCTAAGTGCTAGAGCATCGGCCAGCAGCACAGCACGACCTCTGCATCTCTTATCCTTTTGCGGCTATTTCAATCATCACTTCCAGTTCTTCAAAGGATTCTCTTCCCCATTCATCCCTTTGTGGTTTTTTTGCCTCCCTCCTTTTTTTTCCTGTTTTTTTCCTCCTTTTGTTTTTAAAAAGCATGTGGGGGGAATGCCTCACCATCATGCAGGTATCCAGGTACCTCTCATCTTTGATGTACTGTCTTAGCTGTACCCTGATAAAGTAAAACAGGAATATTTTCTTCAAATAATTTCTGCAGAATGGAGACATAGATAGTAGTGATGGGCTACTGACTTTCACTTTTGCCATCCCCTTTGTTAATAATTTACAGTGCTTTAATTCCATCTTCACTGTAAATAAGATATGATACACAGGTAAAAGATGCCCATAAGAAGAAAAGCAAAGCATATTCTTTTGCATCTGAAAATAACTAGATTTAAATTAAAATGGAGAAGGTGGATATTCTCCTGATCTTATTCCAAATAGGACCGAAATCTGGAGGACAATATAGACAAAAAAAAAAGGGGGGGGGGGGGGCTGGGGGGATGGTGTTCAAATTCACTCCCTCCAAAGCAGTATGGAAGAACATTATAGGAATATAAACTTGGGAAAATAGAAAAGAGAATAAATAATTTTCCCTCTTACTATACAAATCTGACAGACTGATTCAATTGAAGGTTGGGACCAGACCCTATGCTGCACATCCTCAGGGCGACAACACGCAAGAGCCTTCTCAGGAAGCTGCCCAAACCATAGACACAGACGGTCAAGAGCTCTTCTAAGAGGGCACCCTCTCCCGAACCTGCCCTGGGAGGTTACAGCTTGTGAGGAAAGGGGCTTTTGTCACCAGGGAGAAAACGGCCAGCTTGAAGTCAGGATGCCTAGACACAGCAGGACAAGGCTTCTCTGCTG